TTTGTCAGAAAAGAATGATATTTTCTCTGAATGCCGATATAATTTGATCAGTCTTATTTACGGGCACAACTAACTGAGATGTGGACAGGATAGAAGCAGGAGGAACTTGCATTCTTTTAGCTCCAACCAGAAGTAAAACCGGAAAAAACGATCAAAATCCGCCATCCAATTCCTTGAAGCGATCATAAAATGAGTAGTCAGTGTATGGACGCAATACACAAATCATGAAGCGGTTGGAAATTCTTCGACACCCCACGACCTGTTTCGTCCTTCTTGAGGCTCATCAGGTAGGTGCCAGCCTCGAAATTCCGTCAGTCTTATGTTCTACTTGAGCCCAAATTGCACGAAATTAACGAAATGCAGCAATTCGGTTTTGATCGGAGATTCAGCTGGGTTTCAGGTGAGCCTCCCATCGAAACTAAACCGATAGTTGACGTACTTTAGTGTGTAGCTGAATCGCTTTTTAATCAAAATGTACTAGGAGTCACTCTGCCGCAGGCTGGGTCATTTACCGACAAGAGTTATGTGAGCCATAGAATGAATAGTCAATTTAATCGAAATTTGGCTCATGCAAAAGCTATGATACTGATATTCCAATCACTTGCACAGGTGTATTTTGTTCGAAAGACGATTTTCCAAAGTTGGTTCGCTCTTCCCATTAATGACGTGTTTTGCCAGACGAGGTGAGCCTTTTAGAGTCAAACTATAGCAGTAATTGCAAGTAGAGACCCGGTCACATGTAGTGCGCAGCATGATACGGTCGAAAGTTACTACTCAGTAGTTACGTTATCAAACGTTTGTTCGGGACTTAAGATCTCACATATCTAGATCCTTTGCTTGTGTAGATGCGGTGTAAAAATGACGTAGTGGTGCCACAGCTGTCGATCGATAAATGTGGCAAAAATCGATCGTCTTCTCGATCGGAACACCAGTACATTGACAACAATGCAATAAACACGTCGATTAGTTTGTCTGGTAAACATACAGAAGGATGAAGGCAAGTCTGCATTCGGCTTAACCATACAATACATATGGCGTCAGGTGTTGCGTCTGTGAGTAATAAATCAAAGGCTTCTCATTGAATGTTCGCACGATCACAGTATGAATGATCGATAAGCGAACACACTTCCGAGTGATGCTTTCTGCTCGGTTAGTAGATGTTCCTAAAGAATCGGTCCAACAAGTCAAAGATCGGGTTACTAGGAAACTTTACAGATTACTCTCTAAGAAAATATGCCACCCAAAAGCACGAGAGCCTTTGATCTAGAATGTCACCCACTGGCTTCGGATAACTACTAGGCCATCGGACACCTGTGCGCAATTCGTATAGGAGATTAGTTGTGTTATAGTGTGCAAGTCGCTGAACACAAGGGAATAACATCGACCGACAACTATTGGCTGCACGGAACGTGACAGTCTAACAAAAGTCATATACACGTAACAACCTACCGGGGATTGACGGCACTTTTCAATTTCCTGACGTTCCAACATATTACCCTAATTTCATCTGCAAAGCATCAAGTCAGAAGGTATTTGCGGAACGTGGCTAGGGAGGACAGTGTTACGTCAAAACTATCTTTGCCAAGATTACCCTCAAGATTGTCGTCTACTGTCGTGTAAAATGGAGTAAAACCAATTCAATTCGTTGCACTAGAACCTATTCTATCGTAACCGAAAACCTAGTGAGGTCGAAACCGATAGTTATACGGTGAGGAAACAGTCAGTGACAAATGGTAACCCCAGCAGTGAGGTGAAATTACTTGTCTCATGAACTGCTTTAATTTTGACAAACTGTTCGTGAACCAAGAGGACCGAGATTAGGCAATCTATTCGGAACAAACTCAGGCGGGAGTCATGAAGATGCGGGTTACTAATAGCAACACATTGGGATCCCATTTAACTGATATGACTGAAGTTGGACCAGAGGTCCAAGTATACGCAGCAAATAAAATGAAAAGATACGCCTGAGAATAGGCTGGATACGCCGACATCCCGGATATCGGATTCATGCTCTGCCGAACGATCTGTTGAGGGAGATAGCCGTCCGACATGATATTATGCTCACAGACTAGACTGACTGGATCTATAAAAGCGCTGTGTAATCTTCATCAGCTGTTGAAACAGCAATATTCCGAAGAACAAACTTTTATTCGGAAGTAATGCCACTGCATTAGAGACCGTCTCCACATGTGCACCTTTATTTTATCATCATCTCGGATGAAATGCAGCTTGAGTGTACTCTGCACTACGGAAAAAAACTGGGTAGTAAAAAGTCACTCCCCCCTTACGATGTGCTTTCATGGATTCTCACTTTGTTGTTTGTCAATGTAGCCGGACGTGCTTGTTCTACCCAACGCTAATTTGTTGTCGCGGGTGTCCTTCTTACCCAAAATCAAACCGAATGCCAGGACTTTGGTCTCTTTTGCCACAGTGACAATATGAAGACCCAAAAAACTCTGCGGTAGGTTTATTTGTCTTTATCTACACTGACGGACAAAAGAAAGCTCTATGAATTCTTTAAACAAAAGAATGGGGATGGAGGGGGGAAGTAAACAAACGGTAATTGTACTCTTGACTACTTCTGTCTCCATTTTCAGTGTGTGCCCTGTTGAGCTGTGTCACTGCTGTCATAAACACAGACTAAAACGGAAGATGCGAATGATGATTGACCAGGGTTAACACAAGTGAACCGAGAAACACGGAAACATGGGGGGTTGCATGTTACTTGTGGAGGACCTCCGAAATTAGTCATTTTGTGGCACCTAGAACCGATGCTGCTTTTCCTAGCTTCCGGAAAACTGGTTGTCTCAGATAATAAACGTTCGCCGTCGGTTGTTTCAGGATTTGTTGGACACTAATTTTGGAGAATCGCTTGTGGTGAATAGACAGGGCGTTCATTCAGCGTATTCATACAAACAGTAAATGGAATCTCTAGTTTGCGAATGCTCATGCAACCAGACCCAGTTATGCCTACAGACAACAACCAACTAATCAGGATGTAAATACCACTGGATAAATATGTACTTAGGTAAGCCTTCGAAATAAATAAGTACAGAGCCTCCATTTTGAAGCAACCCCTTTAGAGAAGAATGCTCGCCCGACACGGCAGTTTGTTGTGGCTACAGACCTCCTCAATTAAATTAAAGTAGAATATCAATGGATTACTCATTCAGTGGAAGAATTCTGTATGCTTCATGTTCCCTCATTGAAAGGAGTTGTTTCAGCATCAGCTGAGTGGACCATGCACAACAATACTTCCTGGAAACCAAACCAAAGGTTTAACTTAGATTAAACTTGGATATGAGGTATGAACATCATCGGGGCAAACCGTTCACAAAATAGCTTTTGTCTGAATGGTTCCCTTAGATTTTAGCCACCGAGTGTCCACAGAAGTTCGTTTTTAGAAGAGCAACCAGGCAGTACAAACCAACAGGACATTGAGGGCTTTTGGACGATCATTTGGTTAATTGCATTTGCTCAAACCTTAAGTCAAGCTTCACTATGGTCTTCAGAGACTTACATCACACAGTCACCGAACTAGAGGGACACCAGTGGGTCACAGTGTTTCAGCTATAAAGTCTACACCAACATTCCTGCACCTGAATTTCTGTTCAGTGAGGATAAAAAGAATAATGGAATGAAAGACCAACGTCGGAACAGATGGTTCAGTCGGTTCACTGAGGTTACATTTTTTTATTCCAGATGGCAATGAGTGAGAGAGCGAAGCAGCGAAATCAACAGCGTTGATGCAAGATCACCACTGATATCTTGATATTGCCATATCTATCAGTATCACTAGCCTCTGGTTAGTATATGTGCTGGTTACGCATCCGGAACGACGAGAGTTACCAACGCGACTAACTTGATTGGCAAGGACTTTCATCTTTCGCTGGGAAGTCTTGAACTGACTGCCCCGGGTCAGCCCCATCTGTTACACGGCTGGGCAAATAGAGCTCTGAGAGACCATCTGTATGTAATTATACTGATAATGTCTGCATAGACTTCGTAGAAACGGCTGAACAAATATGGTGATGGTGCCGACGCTACCTACATCAAACTGTGCAAAGGCTCTTCATCAATGATGCCCGCGCAAAATCACCCTTGGGGATTTGAACGGATTACTGTGATTCTCTTCTGGTCGTGTATCACCTACCTGCATTGTAACACCTTAACTCATATCGTGACGAACTCTCTGTAAAGCGGTGCATCATACTGCAACTGTCCTATTTGTTTTACTTTAGTTGACCAGCAGGCATCGAGTGCACTATGAGCAAACTTGAAAGCAACGGATCTTTGGAAGGCGGCAGCTAGATACCCAAGTCCCATTGACCAGTTTCAGTGGTGGCGGTTAGCGAATCCCTTCTTCATCTTCGTAAAGTGGACAAATATACTTTACTGCAAGCATCTTGCTACGTAATGGTCTCAAATGAAAAAAACTGGGTGTTCGTAGCACACCGACAGTACGAATGATAAACTGAGTAGGAAAGAGCAACGATGAATAAGATGGATGTCTCATTGCCTGTAGATTTTGATATACAGTTGTTATTGCACGGCAAATACTTCAGTGAAATGTTCGGGTGACGCAACTTACCGGCTAAATAATCAAATCCATGTAGGAATACGAACAGCCTAGGTGCATTTTTTGTAATTAGGTCAGGCGGTTTACAAGCATGCGACTCCATCTTATCGAAATGACAGAAAGTGAAACCTGCAACTCCAGACAGGCTATCAGCTGTTTACGCGTTTGATTTGCCTCCAAACAGTCAACTGAAGATGAATCAACCGAAAGTCATTCGGTTCATCTCGATCCATTGGCTCATCATAATTGCAACCCCCTTACTGGCTAGTTAAATTGTAGACTCTCCGAAATCCTGGAACTGGCAGTTAGGACGGTTGTTTTGCTTTTCTAATGAAACAATAATGACGTCATTGATATCTTCCTAAATAGCCCACATTTACGTTCTAGACGGTTCAGAACGAATAGAATCAATGGTTCTTATCGTGTATGTAAAAGGGTAGAAAATTCAGGAGGTTCCTTATGTCTGGAAACTTGCTATGATACAAATGAGGGAAATAAACAAGCCGACGATAGAAATTTCCACAGTTCGGGTGGAAAAATGTGCGACAAATTGACACAGCACGGGAGGTTGGTGGACCGTAGTAAACGCATCGAACAGGGTGGGATTCGGTTGGGGATAAATGCGATTTTGAGCAGAATGACAGAATTCGGTGTTCATACAAACTAAGCAAGTGCGTGCCGAAATAATTAGTGAAAACCAATGGAAATCTGATACAGTGGGTCAATAGTACAAAAAACTTCGTTACCTACAATCAGAACTTTACAGAGAAGTTATCACAAATGGGTCACTGTTCATTGTTTCATGGGTGAAATGGCTAGTGTGCATTGGTGATCGTCGAGGAACCGCTTTGTACATGGCAGCGATATTGACCTCTGGCAACTGTGACATTTGGAGTTGGTGCTGTTGTCGAATGGTTTCGATTTCCGGGACGGCGTACTTCGAGCTGGTCGGATATTCGTTGCAAATTCTTTCGAATTCTGAGTGCGGTCAGACGACTGTCTGGATTTGCTGCCCAGCACTCTGGAAGTAGGGCGGCAAAATGACGTAAGACCATTCTGTTCAGTTCTGTCAATTCCACACGTGAAGGTTTTGTATCACTCTGAACCATCTGGTCTGGGTACATACGTGAGCCTTTGAGCGAGGAAGCGCCAGAAGAAGAAGACTCACCAAACGCGGGTTTCACAGGAACATCCGCTGAAACAGCAATTGGTGACAAGCAGATGAGGATCGAATGAAATATGGCGCGAATAAATTTTCAAATAAATTTTGAGAGGGTCGCAAAACGATGTGTAGAAATACGGTTTGTGGTAGGAGCTGCAAGCTAGTTAATGACCAGAGGGAATGATTAGCACGATGCTACAAAGAGGTAACCAAAGGGTCACCAAAACAAAAGAGGGACCAGAAAGCTTTTTCAAATGCTACCGTCTACCACATCTCAGTTCATGAAACTAGATTTGCTATATGAAGCGAAAATAAGTAAATTGCATAGGTTAGAATCAGTTAACATCCTTGCCGGCAGTTGAGAAAAGCAAATAGGTCGTAAGTAGACTCACTTGTAAGAGGAGTCTCTACACTGTTTTCAAGTATGTACTCAACGAAGGGTGCGGAATGAAGGTCCGCAACGCCCATGCTGCTCGTGTGCCCAATCGTAATCGACAGGCGCTATCAGGAATCACTAAATACACACACGCCATTAGATGTACGCCTTTCGTTTAACCGTCAGTCAAAATTTGCCAGGCGTATACCGTGCCATATGCTGTCCAAGGAGTGAATGACAGTCAGAGCATGCTGGACCGTGTAACTTGGACTAATCCACGTTTTGAAGCGGGTGGGGTAAGACGAGACATGTCAAGGTACACCCTGTCTCATTGTAAGGTACAGTTGCTGACTGACCGTGAGCTACTGGTAAAACAGTTATCAGTGACAGCGCAAATAGAGACAGCAGTTCCCACGTGTAAAACTAGCACTGCCAGCGGAGCCTAGTAACACTAGACGAGGAAACGGACAGCTGTTCAGACGATTAAAACCAAATATCAACAAATGAAACTTTTATGGATATGGGGCGGTTTGAAAGCGATGGGAGCAGGCCGGCTTCCGAAAAACCGGAGGGTAACAAGGGCGGAACTGCAAGCGCACACAAAAAGAATGCGGCCACATGCACAAAAGGAGCTGGAAGGCGGATACGAAGCGATGTCGGCTGTCGGCATTTCGGATAAGATAAGGATGATGGAGAGTGAATCAGCAAAGCAAAACCGTCTATTTCGTTCCGTAATTATCTGTCTCTTGTATGGTGAACAGATAAGTAGGGCGCAATCGGCTTTAAGATGGAAGCTTGCTTTTGGTGGCACTCGCATTCTTCATCATGGGACCATCGTCACTGTCCAAAGCACCAAGTGGTCAGGCTCACCACCAGGTACAAGATGCCGAAACAACAAGGCAATTTCATGCCACGCGATTGTGTTGGAGTGTCTACTGATTAATGCTTTTTTTAACTGACTGCTTCACGGAGGGCCATTTGTGACCTTGATACCTACACTTTCAAATCAGGTGGGGCCGAGCTTCAACAAAACATGTTCACCACAAGCTTCAATCAACCGTTCCAATCCAGATCACTATGCGACTTGACGTGGTCAGCTGAACTCCCCCAGTCAGGATGGTACTATTACAGGTGCTATATATAGTAAAATTCATCTATCTGCGTTGCTAAGCGCAAAACATTCTCAAATCCTCCGCGAAATGGCTGAATATTTAAAGAATTTGATTGGTTCTCTTGCAGAATTGAGAGGAAAAAGCCTGGGTGTCTTAACCAACAACCAAACACTCGCAGTGTTGCGCTCCCATATTTCGGAAGCAAGTAGTCGTTTGTGGAAGCTGTATGGCCAGTGTATTTGATCCTCCTAGGTTCGCGCAACTTGCCACATTTCGCTTCACACCGGATCGATTCGGGTACGCGAATGAGTGAAATGCAGTAAATCGCAATGGAGAAGAGGAGCACAGTAAGCTGGGTTGCAAAGATCATATGGGGAATTCAATGTGGTTGCTGTTGTTTGATGCAACAATGTTGCAGCTGTTCATGAATGAGCGGGTCCACGGAAGTAGACAACGAAACAAATTCCCTCTGAAACGTTCGACGGATTTCCATGTGCAATCCAAAGTTAGACGGCCTGTGTATTTCGAAACGCTAGGTATAGTCAACAGCTTACTCCTACAAATAAAGGTTAACACACTGCACACGTCAGATCAGCTTGCTCTGATTCGGAATATTGTGTGCATCGGCAATACATACAACTACTTACAACGGTCCCTTTCACTTTGCCCGCCTCAAAACATACACGTTCATAGTAATCAGTAGTAGTTTCACAGAACTGGTCCCTAGATTCGAGTTAGATTATCTTGGCTGCCGCTCAAAGAGCCCTCCTCGACTGGGACACCAACTTCCGAATGGTTTGGTCAGATATTTACATACACTGAAGGCGTGGTCAGATAAGGCGAGATAAGGCCAAATCTCGCTGAAACCAAACAGCCTTTATTCGATTCGTCTCCTCCGGCTGTGGAATTACGGCAAAAGTGATCTTTGTCGGGAATTGATCTATTGATCTCTCATTGATACTAGCTCAGGCACATAACCAAATGCAGTATTGTGTCTTCACACTTGTCACGTTATTATGTATGCCCAACGCGCTTACGAGGGAACGCAGTCTGGTCATTAGGAGTGCTTGGTCTAGAGTACCTGTGCAGAAGAACTATTGAGCATTACAGTTCTAAGTATGTCAGATCCATCGGTGGCATGTGCACCATCGAAAAATGACGAGTTCAAGTGCCCTGAAGGATTTAAATGAAGCTCTAAAAGTTACTTTCAGATAACTGCGGTCATCAGTGACAAGCACCTTACCTACTTTATCATGGAGCACCTGCGCACTCAACCTTGGAAGGATAGGCATTACACTTCCTAGCACACTCGCTAGCACCCGTCCAGTACATAAGTTCCGTATCACTTGGGGAAAGCACGAAGGCTGAGATACTGTCCGGTTACCCAAGCCTAGATAGCCAACTCACCAACTAATTTTGTGGCTGCGGACTAAGCGAAGCCTCCTGAAACACAAAAACGATTAGATAAATAAAACGGCTATTTCTACGTTAACTGAAAATTTACATGTCATATCATTTGTCAGTTGATCTGACAGCTAGGAAAGCCAGCCTTCCGGGAAGAATGACCCTTACAGACATACGGCTATTTGATGTTGCCGTGTGTACCGGTCAGGCGATTCCAAAATTCTTTTTGGTTTTGACGACAAAATACCTGATCAAGAAACTAAGTTAGTCCCAAGTTTAAAGATAAAAGGCTTGAAACTACTTGAGTTATTTTTGTTTCCACGTCGGTGAATAGGATGGAAAACCAAGCGCGAAAAACTTGTCAAGTTTCTTAACTATTCTGCTGCAAATGCGGTGACTGGTGCGAATCATCATAACTGAGCACTCAACTTTGCTCCATACAAATCACGAGCTGTTAGAAGGTTGCTCATTATTCTGAATACACCCCGAGACGTTGTCATCTGGTTCCTACAGATATATTGCACCGATATTTCGCCAAAAAAGTCGATAGCGTACCTGCTCTGCGAGGGCCGAGCACCATCGGTAATCGAACTGAACTGATGCGTAGACTTATTGGTGTCGTGACCGTGCCTCCATGTATGACCAACTTTCAGATTAACCCGTAAATGCTGCGTAAAGGAGAATGTGACAAGAGTCTCCTAGATGTTTAATGTCAGCTAAAGCTGTGGCTGCATACATCGTTTTTTTACTAGTACAGACACATTGACCGTGCTTAGCTGTCTAAACAGCTGCCAATGGGTTAGACCACTGAGTTTCCCTCAGTATTCCAAAGTACGCACGCAGCAAGCACGCGATACAGAGTACAGTCACTGACCCACAGTTTACACCATAGTGGTCGTGCTACCGTCCATGTTTGTAGCTTCGTGGGTCTTTTGGCCCAACAGCGTTAGCTCACTGAAAGCGTTAGCTATCGGACACTTCGTAGCAGAATTGGGGGTGTTCACAGGCGAGCACAGTGTTGCTTCTGGGTAGCGTTCATCGACGATTTTTATTGAAAGGGTGGTGTATTTGTGGAGCAATAAGATGCGATAATGCATCGTGTTCTAACAAGTGGGTTCGGGTTATCTAGATCATGCTAAAGCTGAGATACCCAGACCCATATATAAAATGCAAGCGTTCAAGACAGTACAGTCGAAATGGCGGAAATAAAGAGGCGCAGGCAGCCATTGGATACGTCCCACTTATCTTCCGAAAAAAATTTAAGCGTTTCTCAAAAAGAATAGAAAATCACAAAGCTCTAGCTGAATTTAGTTCAACGAATGAAACCGGTTAGGCTGCTATGTAACCTTAGACAAGCTTTGGGCAGTACTGTGGTAACCTTCCAACCTTCAAAGTATGGGACAGGGTGAAATAGTAGTGATAGAAAGAAATAAAAAAGGTGCATTGGAAAGCAAGTGTTTGTCAGTCGAAAACCAGTACTTTCAAAACGGTGTAGGAAACAAATTTTTTTAAAAAATCCTTCCGTTTTAACACTTTTTTGGTGTTTAGCTGGCATGCTACCCGAAGGAACCACGAAGGCTGTTATACTGTCAGCCCAAGCCTAGACAGGATAAGTCGAGATGCACAGGTCACGTTCGAACTACGGACGCACTACAACCATTGAGCCATCTCGCCCTTATAAGAGGTTCACAAGGTGCCATAAAGACATTGTTTTTCCCTGTTTGGCGGAGAGCGTCACAACCTACTCTGGGGCATGATATCCCCAACTAACCTTCAATACATCCGCACTGGTAGCACCAAGATGGTGTCAGCTGCATTAAGTACACGGTCGATCAGCATGCCTGGAAAACTGGCCATGTTTATTTATTCGTCAGATGAATAGGTGCGCTGACGACCTGGTCATCAATCTGACGATGAAGTTTCTTCCCGACACACGATGACGGCAATGATGCAGGTTAGGCATTTTACTTCACATTCTCCAGAAGTCCGAGTCGTCCGAATTCGCCAGCCTTAGTCGGACTGGGTCGCTTTATTCGAGCACTTAGGCATACATGTGATCAAATTCATAAGGTTGACGAAAATCTATCTGATACGCTGCTGGTATGACTTCACTCCTTCCAATTGGGAGCTTAAAAGAAAAT